GAGAGAGAGAGAGAGACAGAGAGAGAGAGAGAGAGAGAGAGAGAGAGAGAGAGAGAGAGAGAGAGAGAGAGAAAGGGGGAGGGAGAAAGGAGTAAAGACAATTTAACTATCTATCCAGCGAAGTCGAGCGTTTTCCCTTGATGGTCGCGCGAGCAACTTCTCACTCACCGTTCTCGCCAACGGTGCTCCTTGCGAAGTCGCGGAGTAAACGGTTCGGTGCCGTGAATCAGGTGTTTGAATGCCGAGGCGCCATTGGAAAAGAGCGGAAAATCGACGTGGACAAGACGTCTCATCGACTCGTTTCTTGCATTGGAAATGTCGCCAGGAATAAAACAGCCTATTCTTGGAATCCTTTCTCGCGAAACTAAAATTATCCCCTTCGTCGTCGTGGCTTTTGAGTGACAGTCACTTAGTAATGTCCGAATTGGTACGCTTCAAGATTGACCTTTCCGGCGTCGTTGCATTATCTATAGGGCGATCGAGCACCGTGGCCTATTCTCGATTCATGCGTAAATCGCGACGGCTGCATCGCGTCACGCGGCATTGATGTTTAATAATAGACACAAAGTCATCGTTAGACTACCGGCAACCGTTCAGCAACTGAAATATTGTCGTCATGATGGAGCCGATATGACGATAATTTCAACAAATTTACCGTTGTTTGCGAATTGCACGAAGCACGCAAACGAAGCGTAATGATAAACCGTGCGCATCCCACTTTCCAGATTTTAGAGAAGACCCTAGTTTTTTTTTTAATTTAGCAACAACTTTACTAGTCAATTTGTGAAGGTCTCTTATGAATGGCATTCATATTTAACAAATAGAATAACCAAGTAGAAATATGAAAAAAAATGATAAAATTTGTCTCAAATAACATTTAAATGTAATATGAAAATCTGAGTGTAACTTTTAGTAAATTTGTTGCTGCATTAATGGAATAAAAAATTTACATTATATTATGATTAAATTCAATGATTATATTATGATTAAATTCAATGCGGATCAAATGATTAAATCGATATAGTATATTTGCCTCATAAATGTAATTTAAAAAAATTGTAAAGTTTCCATTGTTGATTATTTCTATATATGACGGCGAATAAATATTCGCGCTCAATTTTTCACTCTTTTGTCAACATGATTGTTTGCCATACGAGGATCCAACGGGTTGTTCGGTTCTTTAGCCAGCACTTGAATAGCACTTAGCCCGCATTCGAGACCTTATTGGCGCAATATAACATGATAAAGCACTAAGGATGCACACACGCGTTATTATTATCAAATTTAACGTTTTAATCGCGTCATCTTTATCGCAGCCTTACGCGGAGGAGTCTCACTCTTCTGTCTATTTCAACTTCACGCGAACTTTAGACCGCGTTTTTGTTCCAAAAAACAAACGTTGCTTAATTCAATTTTTTGGCCCTGTTGCATTTCGATTTGTCATTTTAATCTCGAGGCAAATTCATGTTAATTTTACCTCACTTCGCGCTTGTCATCGCGCATTTTTATTGTCAACGCGCGACTGAAAGCGCGACGAAATACTATCAAGCAATAATGGGACTCTCTCTTATCGATATTCCCGCAGGTATAATGTCGTACCGGTGGTTTACGGGGGCGCCAACTACAGTCAGTTTGCACCGCCGAATTCCTACGTGAATGCCTTGGACTTTGAGAGTCCGAAGGAGCTCGCCGCGTACTTGAAATATCTCTCCAAGGATCTGCGACGGTATCAAAGCTTCCTACAATGGAAGAAATATTATCGAGTCGGATCCAGCACGAAACGGGCGGTTTGTGCTCTCTGCGAGGCGCTACATAAACGGAAAAGCCCGAAAAGATACCATGCCCTGTCGCGCTGGTACGCGAAGGACAAATGTCCGATTCAAACGCTGCTGAGTGATGCCAACGACGTTTACGCGACGAAATTAACGCTGACGAGTCGCGCATAAAGACCGAATTGGGCACGAGTTGCAGGAGCTTAAATAGCGCGTCCGAATGATACGCTACGCAGCACCGTGGAACCGATTATACACAGATGTCGGTAGTCATAAGTAGTCATAATTCCGTGATAAAAAGTATACCGAATATATGTGTGAGGAGTGAAACCAGTTTCGATTATTGCCTACCTTAACTTGCCTCTTTTGCGTCTCTTCGAACACACGGAAAGACAAGAAGTCTGATTGCATTAACGTGCACTGAGAGAAACAATATCTAGCAACTGTGAGAAATAAAAATTACTTATTTAGTAGATATTCTAATATAACATATTTACCAATATAAATGAATATATTGCGATAATAAATATACATACTAATATAAATAAAATATATTAATATTTATACTAAATAAATATACTAAAATATTTTTCTGCTAAGAAAATATGCATTTCCATGAAACATTAACTTTTCATGAAATCAATTGTTTATTTTCTTTAAATAGAGAAGAATTTAGATTCAAGTGAATATATTATGAATGCCCAACGAAACAAATATTATTCGTTTTTTTAAATATTTTTTCTCTCAGTATGACAATGACATAACCAAATTACATTTTTCGTTGAAGGAAACAGATTTTCTGGTTTTTATGAAACAAATTTAGTTCTAATGAACCAGAAGTATTGTTTCCTTCATCCAAGACGCATTCATCGTGCATTATCACATTAATTCAATCAATCTTTTTCTCTGTGCAGGATCAGATTTTAGTATACGAATAATTCCAGTATACGAATAAAAACAAATATACGCATATATAAATTAAAATTTGTATGTGCGTTACGTGTCTCTAATAATTTGATCAATCACTGTATATATATGTAGAAGAGACCGAGTCTAGATGGCCGCAGGAATATTTTACTCATATGTTCCTTTAGTACTCTTATCTTGGAATAGCATAAAAAATCGCGGAATGTTCCTTTTAGGACATAGATACTTTTCCCCGAATTCCAAAATCGAAATAATGTTATAGTTAAAAAATATTAAAAAATTGATTTAGTAATAGCAAAGCTTAAAAATTTTTAACCTTACGAAAATTTGTATTAACATTCACCGTTGTGAGTGAACAAAGTTAAGCGACGTGTTATTAATTAGAATGAAGTTTCTTGCAAGTTTGATACGTTTTGGATAATAAAAGCAATTTTCATTGGTAAACTGATTGAAATAAAATATATGGACGGACGAGGTAAAGTTGGCCCACAATTAAGGGTCGAAGAAAGGGTTGTGAAAACCTGCCGTGGAAATCCCGAAACTACTAATCACAGGATAAGTTTTATACATGTCTTTTTTGTCTTTTTTCTGCGCTATTGGGCAATTAAACCCGGTACTAGGGCAAGATGGCCACGTTACATGTTTGTATTTTGATTATTACAAAACAATATATACGATTAATATATACGATTAACAGAATCATTGACGGACATTAGCGCCCATGAGGAAGGCTGCCTCTATCATGTAGGTACAATCAGTCATAACAGTGTGTCAGTTGTCTGAGAAGTTCGAAATTCTGAAATATGGGGCATCTAGACCCGCTCTCCCCTATGTGTAAGGGAAAATAAGCCGACCCACTGTGATCACTTGTCCAATAATGCGAACATTCCGGGGACTATAATAGCGTAAGTGATCACATAACTTCGACGTCTGATTTATGCATCGATGATAGGTCATTAGACTGAGGTTGTGTAGCACGTCGATGTATTGACTACTCGCTTGATTAGTTAAGATCAAAGTAGCCAAGCTCCATCACACTGACGCCGACGTACTGTACGCCAAGAGTTTGAGGCGCGCGCGGGTGTACGTGATATACTAATCATGCGATGTCCACAAAGGAAGGTGGCTTTCTAAGATCATGCATTTAATATCATCGAATTACAGCGGTGTTTAACGTAGACGCAAAACGAACGCGCGTATCTCGCATAAAAGACTGACACGTTGGCCGTGACACGTTATTGTCAATGAGTAAAAGACATTTCTCGCGGTATTCTCGTTTGTATGTAATTGAATTTCGCTTCTGTGTAACTATAAATAATAGCGGTAATAATTCTAGTACAATATTTATCTAGATAGATAGTCAACTAAACAAGAGAAAGAAACAAGTGACAAGCATGTATACGCATTTGCATCGTAACAAATCAAGATAAGGTATCGATCACTGCGCTACCACTTGTCGTTCATGACTATTTAAAAAGCCTGTTGTCTGTGTACTTTCGCAGTATTTTTTTACAGCGTATTCGTCTACCTCAAAACCCGGTGGCCCAATATTACGAAATCGTGAAGCGAAAGCCGTTTCTATCTGAGGTTTATCGAAGCGAAGCTACTTTGAAGAGATGGGTGATATAGGCATAAGTTAAGAAATTTTATAATTTTTCTACGAACCTAATGTGAAAGCCGTTATTTTATTTTTTACGCGCTAAATGTTACTTATTTTATAAACAGTATTCAGGACTGAGAAGATTAGTATTAAAGCTGTATAGAGCTGACTATACGTCGCGAATCAGGATGCGCGGTTCGCCGCGCAAACATTACAATTGCGCATACAACCAGTATGAAAAGTCGTATTTTATTACATTATTATTCGATACCTGTAATGAATTCTTTGCTCTTGCGCAATACTTCAGCTAGTGAGCTGCAAAGCAAACCTCTGTTCGATCTTCACGCTACAAATAAATAAATCGTCGCATTTTTATAAACCGGCTCGCACAGACATTACATTCTTGTAAATCACTGACACCATTCTTATGTTTCATTAGTTCATGTAATATGTCAGGATTATCAATGTCAATAAATTATATATTAACTGTTAGACTATAGTCGGATTATTTTAACATGCGGATGAATTGTATATTGATTAGAGAACTAAAGGTGAATTATCGAACGTTATAAGATGGCATTGTGGATTAACAAAGTAGATTAAGACTGAGAGATAATGATATATCTAATATAATTCTAACGGGAGGATAATATAAAATATTTGGTCGCGTATCTCGGTAAAAGAATCATAAACATATAATATAAATAATAGTTTCCTCTCCCATTCCCAAATATTTATGTCGCGATTGCGTTTGATTTTACGAGAAAAAATCGCCACGTTTTCAAAAAAAAAACTCATGGAGATCAATATTATAAAAGGGATGCTATATTCGATGACTTTATCGACAAAATACTGACATTTTTCTGCAAAGTATACGTTTTTTTTATTGCACAAAATTATTAATGCTTCTACACAATGAAAGTACGTGTAAAAGTGAATTGAGGCATTGCTCGATATATGATGGAAACGATATCAAAATTTCAAAATTGACATCTGGAACTATAAAATAGCGTAAATATTTGCTTGATGTAAAAGTTCTGTACTGAGAGAAAAAAAATCTAAAAAATAATAAATATTTATTTGGTCAGTACTAGTAACATATTTATTTAAATCCAGTTTTATTTTATTTATATAGAATAAATAATTGCTTTTTTCATAAAAAGATTAAGTTTTCTTAAAGTTTTGAGAAAATGTATATTTTTTTATTTGAAAAAGATTTTATATTACTATAGAAAGAAAGATAAATGTTTTATATACACACACACATACATATAATATCTACCGAATAAACGTTGACTATTTCTTAGATATTTTTTTGTCAGTGTGCATATCGAGCGTGTATTTATTGCGCTTAGAAAATTTTCAAAGAACATTACTACGTCTTTACAACTTAATTTGGAAGCTTAAAAGCATACAAAACATTTGCAAAAACATTTCTATATTATATATATTTATTATTTTATATTATATTTCTATATTATATTTAAAGATTATGTTTACCGCCAAATATGGTAAAACAAAACAGCATACGTTTATATAAGATCAAAATGTATAAAAAATACAAAGAGAATAATGTTATATCATATTAGTGCTCATCTGACATAACGTTATATCAATCACCTCTTTATTATCGACATTTTGCAAATTCGTCATCCACTTTAACATCTCCTCAAGTCGTTGACAATTTACTCGTAATCGTGCAAATTCATTCAATTCTCAACTGCAACGGTTGTATTTAACTGCAATAATCCTGATAAACGGTTCTGACGTTGCGTTATCGCGTTAACTTGTGAATAGCTTGTAACAAAAGCGGCATGAAAGGTTCACAAACCTACAAACTTTAATCCTTTCATAGGTATTAGTAACAAATAATGGAATAGCATGCTTAATCCGGCAATTCTCTGCCTCTCCCTTTCCCTCTTTCTCTTGCCATTCTATTTTTTATTGAACACTGTGACTCTCTAATCGAACACCAGAGCATTAGTAAAACTCTGCTTCACCCTATTCTCTCGGATCTTTGACAGGTAATATTTCCTATGTGTAGACTATATATCCACGGACTTGCTGACTTTAGAAAGAGATTTTCGCGAGCGCTCCTTCACTTATTGATCCGTGGCCATAAATGTCTTGATTGTTTACTTGGCACTGTATGAGAGATGGTACGCTTGCGCTCGAAGGAAAGAGGAACTTCACCGAGAAGTAACGAGATTAAACAAGTCCGCTGCTCTGTGTTGCTCGAGTTTCTTCGCTCGTCTAATGAAGAAAGCTTCTATTTCCGTTACTTCCTGTCTACACGTATGGCGCCCAATTAAATTGCGATCTATTATATCTGGTCCCATTTGTTCGCTTATTTTATATATATTTTATAAATTCTGCCTATAACATGTAACTGTGTGGGGCTATACATCACCTCTAAAGTTGCATTTTGAAACGAAATTTCGGCGACAATCTTCCATCGATATTTGGCTCAAACAATGACTGTTATTATTAGACTCTTAAAACATTTAGCTTAATGCGCTCCGCATTCGTCTCTCGAATTGACTCCCGAGATTCTCACCGAGGCTAAAAGATGAAATTTTCTCAGGTGAATTCCTCGCGTGCTCTATTCTCACGTCACTTGTCGGCGACGACACCGCGCGACGTTGCTACACGGGAGGTCGCCTAAATCGCGAGCTTCATCGTCGGGGAACGAGATGTCGAAAGAGAAGACCGCTTGACACACGTCACCCGAGCGACTGCTCCGGGATTAAAGAGCTTTAGTGTATTTCAGCGGAATTGAATAGAGCTCGCACAGGATCGTCTA